CACGACTTTTCCCTTAGTTAAGCCTTTTCCTCGGCCCAGATGCTCTTCAATTCGGTGCTCCGTCAGCCCCAGTTTGGCGTCCCGAGAAATGGTGAGTAACGGCCCTAACCGCTGCTTGTTGCTGGCGGAATTCGCCTCCCCCAAAACAACACCTCGGACCAAGGCCGACTCCAATTATGTTTTCCAGCCCCCGAGTGAATTCGTGTTAACAAAGATTACTTAAGAAAGTTGCACTTTCATGCCCTCGGAACACTTTTAATCGTCGTCTGGATTTTTAAAATTGCGATGTAGGCAGACGGAAGGAGGAAAGTTAACTTAAATGGCTTCCTTTACGGCTTATGTCTATATTACACTTTAACTGGAAAACGCGTGCATTTTTGCGTCTGTATGTGTGTTCCTCTTTACAGCTATGTGAGATCGAGGACACTCGTATTCACTGATTGATTCATTTGTTGTAGAACCTTAGTGAGCCCTGTTATAGGTACACTAGTGAATCTGACTCGCTGTTAAGGAACTCAGTCAGGCGGAGAAGACAGAACGTCTGCTTCCAGCATGGTCGAAAATTTTTTTTTCTCCCTGATTAATACCGATCCATAAATATTCGAAGTTATAGAGTGAAAAATGCCCATATCCACACACCCCCGGCGATGGCCACTGTTGAATAGATTGAAGTATATTTTTCCAAATGTTTTTCAATACCAGAGGTAGTGTGTATTATTATTTACAGAAATTGTATCAAAATGTTTTGTTTTGTTTTTTATTTTTCACTTTAACCGTGTAGTTTGGGAATATTTCTATGTTAGTATGTAGAAATTCATATTCTCTATCGTTCTCGAGGTTCTTGAAGTTGAAACGTTGGCAGTCAAAATTTTGAGCTTAGGTTTGAGTGTCATCAACATGTAACTTTCTGATAAGTTTCTGAGTTATTACCCAGACTAGGCTCGAATAGAAATAAAATCCCATTCTTTTAAAGATGGTTAGCTCGTCCTTCTCCTTGACATCATGTGGAAAGCCAAAGAAAAGAATCTGAGAAGGGAACTTTTTATATTTAAGGCACAGGTCTAGGAAAAGGTTATTGAAAAGGAGACTGAGTAGTCCTCAACTTCCTGCCCGCAATCCAGAACTTTATACTATCCTTATACCTACTTCCCTCTTAGATATCTTTTTAATTATACTCTAAATACCACTCTTTCTGAGGCCTTACTCGAACAGCTTGTCTATCCTCTGTGTCAGTGGTAATACAGTAGAATGGTTAAGAGCTCTGTCTTTGGAGAGAAAATGCCTGAGTTTTAATTCCAGCTCCATTCCTTACTATTTGTGTGACCTAGGACAAGCAATTTAGCTTCAATTTTATAATACATGTTCTCTAAATTCTCCAGTCTGTCTACTTCTTCTCTCTCATGCACAAGTTCTCATTTGTTGTTATGTATTAGGCTCTGAAATTCATTCATTCTTATATATTTTGCACTGAACTTTATAGGACCATCTTCTTTCCCCTTCTGTGTTGATGTTCCATCCTAGGCCCTTTTTCTCATTCTACCTACTCCCATGGATGATGATAGCCCTAACCAGGGCTTCTTACACACTACCTGCACCCTTCATTTACCTAGACGTTGTATCAGTATCTTCACTCAGGTGGTCAGTCCCACAAGGATCTCAAACTCAAATAGCAAAACCAAACTCACTTTTCCCCAAAACCTTCTACATAACCTACTTTAAGCAATGGTTCCATTCTTTTAAACTAGTCTTTCCAGCCAGAAACCTGAGGGTCATTCTGAATTCTTCCGTTTTCCTCAAGATACACATCTACAAAGTCCCCTTAAAATCTCTCAAATTCGTCCTCTCTATCCCACCAACTTTGCTTCTTCACCATATCTTGGATCTGTTCTGTGCTTACCATTCCATTTCCTTAAGTTGGGCCCTAATACCTTATCTAGAGTGTACCATAAGTCTCCCAAATAGTCTCTTAGTTTCCGTCTCTCCAGTTTCTTTTCCACATTGCTACCAGTTATCTTTCAAAAATGGAAATCTGATTACTCTTCCACGTATTTTTAAATTGGTAGTTAGAAGTTTTTATCGTAAGTTAAATATAAAGGATTTAATTTTTGGCCATATTGTGAAAATTGACATTTTTAAAATAAAAATACTATGTTACTCTTTGAAAATGTATCTAATAGAATGTAAATACCATAGTGATTTGATAACCACATCAGTCATTTTTTTTAAATCTGAACACTTTTAACCTTTAGCTGTTCTACATAGTTGCTTTTTTCCTTGAAATTGTTTCCACTTTATTTCTGCCAACAGAATTTATTCTAATGTAATTTGATTTTAAGCTTGAAAAGTTAAAAAACTTATTCTATCGATCACCCTATCATACTCTAATGTGCAAAAAAAATATGTTTGAATTGATATTGTCTGTGATCGTAAGGGTCTAAGTGTTCAAAGTTCCTCTGGATTGAATTGTTGCAATTATTAGTAGCATGCAATTAATCAAAATAATATAGATGACCAATCTTTGATAAGTAATGATTAAGCAAAAAGTAAATATTTATTGGAAGTATATTTTTTCAAGAGATGGATTTCGGTGTTTATGATGCCTTTATTAAAAGAAAGTATCCAACTGTCTCTCATTTGGGGTCCCAGAAGTTTTTATACCTTGGGTCAATGCAGGTATAAGATTAGGGGATGGAAATACCTTTCTTTTGACAGTGGAGGGAAGACAGTGATGAAGGGAGAGGAGAAAAAGAGCCTCAACCTTTTTAGGCAGATCAGTTTTTAGAACTATACATGGAATTTGAATATCAGAAAATTGATTCTCTGAAAATTTATGTCCTCAGATACTCCTTGAAAAATCTGCATGTAATCTTAAATTGTGCATCGAGTAAACAATAGGCTTTCCAAATGAGTTGTGAGAGGGAGCACTGCAAGTTCATGTTGGAAACAGCATAGCACAGTGAAGATCTAAAAATAATTTAAGGGGCTAGTCCAAGTAGTGTGTGTTGTGGGAAGTGCAGAAATGGAAGGGACTAGCTACTAAGTCACCTTAGAACCATTTGTAAGTATTTGGATATTCGTCTACAGGTGATAAGGCAGAGTTGAGGAGGTCGCTGTTTAATAGTAAAGGATTAAGTACCCATGGCATATCATCTTCTGTTCCACCTAATTTTTTCAGGATTCAGTTCTTTTGAATTCATGTGTTGAAGACATTAGGTTTGTGTTTTCTTTTAATCCCAAACCTCAAGTGTCCTTATATATATATAACTTTAGAACAGAGGCTTTTGTTTTTAAATTCGTTCTGTGGATAGGTGGTTTGTTTGTTTTTTTTTTTAAATTCTGCAACATAATTATTGTATTCTTTTAGTGGTCTTTAATGGCTTATTTATGATATCTGATCCTGAGGTCATACCTCCAGGAATAATTACTAAATTGATTTTATTCGCCACCTTCGTACTGATTCCTTCAGGTTATCTCTTTGAATATCTGAGATTATGTCAAGTTAAGATGTCTTCTCCAAACTATTTTTTGTGAAAAGTGAAAATTGAAAGTACCCTAAAACGGGAGAGTTTGTTAGTCAGCTCTCAATAGATTATAACTTCATTATTTCCTCGTATGCTTAATAAACATTTGGTTCACAATAACTATTTATTGAATCAGTGTTCCTTTTAAATATTTAAAATGTTTTGGCCCATATATGAAAATGATAAATCTTTGAAGATAGTTTACTATTTAGACCATAGTGCACATTAGGTATCCAAAAAATAAACTTTCCCTCCACCCTGAATTTTTTCCTCTCTCTTATGTGTTTAATGAAAACTTACTTATTTCTCAAGACTTATGTTTGATTTCACCTCTTCTAAAGACTTCCCCGACCCGACTAGTACGAGCCAGAGCTAACTGATTGTACTCTAGGGGTATGTACATAATGCTTTACTTTAAAATTGCTTTATGACCCCCAAAAATAAACTTTCCCTCCACCCTGAATTTTTTCCTCTCTCTTATGTGTTTAATGAAAACTTACTTATTTCTCAAGACTTATGTTTGATTTCACCTCTTCTAAAGACTTCCCCGACCCGACTAGTACGAGCCAGAGCTAACTGATTGTACTCTAGGGGTATGTACATAATGCTTTACTTTAAAATTGCTTTAATATACTTTAAGATAGATGACATTTTGCTATTAACATTTTAGACTCCTAGAATTTCTGCACTAGAAAGGAAAAAGGAAGTGAAGTTATTGTGAATATGTTAGTGGCTACAGAAGGCACATCGACTGACATATATTATTTCCTTTAACTCTATGACCATTAGATTATGTATGATGTTGCTGGTAACTTAAGAGTTTGCAGTAATGCTACTTTAGAAACTCTCAGAATGTAAAATTTTAATCGAGAATGGCAGTTTTAATGGTTATGGTTGTCGCCAAAAGGTGGGGGAAGAGGTAAGATCTTTTTAAATATGCAAAGACCACTTGTTTCTTGCAATCTTAAATGTACTAGCAAGAGTCTCCATTTATGTGGTAAATCCAGAGCTATACCTCACCAGAATTTGGGTGTGCTCTTTGATTTCTTCCTTTAGGAAGATAACTTAGGAAAATACCAGAAACTATATTCTAGAGGACCACAGATATGAGTGGATCTAAATTAAGTATATAAAACTCTTTAAAACAAATATTTGCCTCTGCATTTGTTAAAAGTACTGAAATGTTATGATATATTGGAATTCTATAAGGAATTGTGTCTTATTTTAGGATGGTCTTCACAATACCCTCTACAGTCCCTTCTAACTGGTTATCAGTGCAATTCTAATGATGAGCACACTTCTTATGGAGAAACAGGAGTCCCAGTTCCTCCTTTTGGATGCACCTTCTCTTCTGGTAAGAGAATACTATCTAGCTAAACTTGGTCAGAAATAATCTATTTGACACTTAGAGGAAAAATATTTAGGGGTGTCTTTCGGGAAGAGGGGAGTTAGATAGATGGAAGAGTTTTTCTAATAACTGTTCTTCCTGATTTATGAAATAGTTTTCTTAATCTCTCTGCATAATTATGTATTTCCTCTAAAGCATAGGACCATTATAGCACTTTTTTTTTTTTTTTTTTAACTTGTATAGGAAAGGATTGCAAAGGTTCAGCCATCAGGAAAGCTATTTTGCTCGGTGGATACCCCTTTTGATCTGATCAGTTTGGCTTTTCTGTAATGCATTGGGGGACATCTGAGCAGAACTTGTTACCACTGTTAATATTTTAAGAGAGGAAAAGTAAAAGATTGTGAAAAGGGAATTTTAAATTAATAGACACAGCCTGCCGGTGGCCTGTATCATATGCATTTATTTGCCATACCACTCTGATTTAAGTACCGCCCTTGATTCACCCCTTCTTTAAATAAGAAAATAATTTTGATGGCTTTGAGTCATTTACTAAATTACATAATAGGAAAATTTTAAGCAATTTTTAATTCAAATTACCTCTCTACCATATCAGATGCCATTTGGGTAGAATCATCTCTCTTCAAACAGAGTTTTTGTGTTTACCTTATAGCTTTCAATTAATCTATATTGTTTTATTTTTATATCTTTATAGTCAGCTCTAAACTTTTTGTGTTACTTTTTATACATTCTGTATTCTATTCTTTGTCTTGTTTAGCTCCCAATATGAAGCATATACTAGCAGTTGCCAATGAAGAAGGCTTCGTTAGGTTATATAACACAGAATCACAAACCTATAGAAAAAAGTGTGTCAAAGGTAAGTCTAGGTCTAAAAATTTTGTTTTAACATTATTTTTAATTCATAAAGCTTCAAGTAAATTATTTGAATACAACATTCCCAATTATAGTCACTTCTGATTAGGTCTGTTTAAGGACAGGCTAAAAGTAAATGGTAGACTGCCTTTCTGTCAATAAATGTTGTAACTATGGCGATGCCTTTACTGGAAGTTAAGAAAAATACATTTTAGGATAAAAACAGTTCTTCTTTTAAAAAGATTAAATCTTTTACATTTAATGGGGTTGGAAGAAACATAGCTTTAAAATATTTTTATTGACCAAGCATCTTCTGTATATAAAACAAAGTTCTGACCTTAAGAAGCTAATAATGTGAAACTAGTAAGTCAAGCGTTGAGATATCTAAGATAAAAATAAGATTATAAATGATGTAGGAGTACAAAGAAGATGCCACAGGAGTCAAAGAGAAAGCTCTCATGCACTAAAGAAAGGGTGGGAAATTTTTCATGATGGAAACAATGTTTGAATTGGATTGTGGTATATAGACCAATGGAGATGGAATAGGATGCTCTAGGTGGAGGGAAGAGCATTAGCAAAGGCCTAGACTAGAAATCAGAAAGAATAGGATATAATAAGGAAATAGGGAGTAATCCACTTTGGTAGGAATAGGATATATGGAGAACAGTGAGAAGTAAGCCCTGAGACAGAGATAAAGGACAAAGCCAAAGCACACAGAACCTTGAGTGTCAAACTAAAGTACTTTAGACTCCATTCAGAAAGCATGATGAAGATTTTTGAACTGTAAAATATTTCAGAAAGATTTCACTTTAGAGAATATATTACTAATCACCTCATGAAAAAGAATTTGATATCAAATAGTCATTCTATATAGTAATGAATGGAATATTCTGTATTATGTCACTCTTTAAGTCTTCCTTTTCCATTATAATACTCTATGGCTCATGGACCATAGGGTGCTGACCACTGGTCTTTTCAGTATAGCTTTCCAAAGCATTTGAACTTTTGATAAGACTAGCACAGAACATAGTCTAGACATTTTACATTCACATTTTCTTTGTTTAGAATGGATGGCGCACTGGAATGCTGTCTTTGACCTGGCCTGGGTCCCTGGTGAACTTAAACTTGTAAGTGACTTTCATTTTATTGGGATCTGAGTAAATACTAGTAAAGAGTTGTTTTATTAAGTTGTGATAACTTGTTTTTTAAAGGTTACAGCAGCAGGTGATCAATCAGCCAAATTTTGGGATGTCAAAGCTGGTGAGCTGCTTGGAACATGCAAAGGTCATCAGTGTAGCCTCAAGTCAGTTGCCTTTTCTAAGTTTGAGAAAGGTAGGTTTTACCTATGATCTTTCATCACCTTAACCTCCTTTATGATGGGGTAATAAACTGCAATTGTTTCCTTCCTTTCTCCTATCAAAGTTGCTACTTTACCTACATAGATGGTAGAGATTCTAATATGACCCAAAACCTGAATAAAATTAAATTAGGTTTTAGTCTTACTCTTATGGTCAATATTTCCAGATTGTCCCCTAAAGTCAGAAAAAGGTAACTTTTTTCTATACTCTTGCAGATAACATAAAAATTTATTAACAATCTCAATACCTCTGTTCAATTTTGAGTGTCCTTTGAAGTCTAACCCCTACCCTGTATTAGACACTGATTAGCTCTATTTGTAAAATAGTTACTTTACTTGTAAAAACTTAAATAGGATGTGAGACTGGAGTGGCAAACCTGATAAACTGGACATAATTCTTTTCTTAAAAATTTACCATGTAATTACTTTATATGATTCAATTCCCTGATATGTTTTCAACTAATATTAACTCAAAATTGATTTTTCTATGTTTATTTTACTATTATAATGGAGAAAGAAGATTTAGAGAGTGATTTAATACAGAACAGTACTGTAGTAAGGGAAAAACTTAGCAAAGATGTTGAGCTCTTCATTTTTGGTTGGTTTTCTCCATTTATTTCTCACTAATTTTTTTACAAATAGACCCATATACTTTCATATCAAAAAAGTGGCTGAATTAATCTGACTTTAATCTCAGAATAATAGAGACAAACACTACAATCTCCTTTATCATTAAAAAAATACTCTTACTTGAGCACCCAGGAATATTAAACTGAGATGTTGAGCTGTTCAAACTCAGAAAAAGGTCAGTTTTAGTCTACTGAGGTTGCTGTTGAGACTGAAACCTTGAAAAGGAAAGATATGGCATAGTTTTTTTTAATCTCTGCATAACTTTTTATGAACATGTCTATTGTATAAAGTTAGGTATGCTTGGTTCTAGTTGCTACACTCCTGTGTCAGAATTTATTTTGAGTTTATAAAAATAATTTAAGATCAAGAAAAGTTACTTACTAAAGATAAATTTATTTAAAGGTTAATTGAAAAGGGAACCATCATATAATTTGGTTTCTTTGTTTGATTTTTAAAACTATGCTAATGTGATCTAGTAGAAAAAAACACTGAGTCAGAAATTGGGGAAGGTGGTTTTTATCAGGGTTCCCAGCAGTCCACAGGTGCTGTAATGTGAATTTGTCTGGTTTGACACTGCCCCCAGGGATACATAGTTTGGTTAATAAAACACAGATTAGATTTTAGCCTCTTACTACCTCAGCCAAGTGTCCTTGTGGGGGGCACACTTTTACAACCATATAAGAAACTATGTGTTTTATTCTGGTTTCTGCCTCTAAACTCTTGAGCAAAGTCATTTTTATCTCCCTGAACCTTCATTTCTTAACTTAATGAGGTTAATACGTATTCAACTTAACAAAAATATTGTGAGCATAAAAATGAGGTGAGATGTGAATGCATTAAAAAAAAAACAACTGAGGACCATATAAATACTCAGCGGTTTCTTTTGCAGATAGCATGGTAGAAAAGATCATTGATCCAGTTCTTTCAGCCTTACAGGATACAGCCCGGGCAGGATACAAAAAATCATACTAATGACATTTATCTTTCCTAATATCTTCCCCGGAAAGTAAGGAAAATTGACAGAAAGATATGTGTTTTGTGTGGCAAAAGGGGTGCTAGAACTCCTTTTTTGGATAATTTGAAATGATTATAAGCGTACTTCTGTTTCTCTTCCTACAAACCTACCTTCAAATTTGCACTTACTTTCTCATTCTTTATTCCCCAGTGTAAGGCCAGTCCTTCCTAGGCTACGGGTTCTCAACCCTGACTGCACATAGTCACCTGGGAAGGTTTTTTTAAAATAAAATATCAATTAAATATGAATCTCTGGGAGATGACCCAGGCATCTACTATTTTTTTTAATTACAGTTGACATTTAATATTATTTTATATTAGTTTCAGGTATACAGCATAGTGGTTAGACATTTATATAATTTACAGTGCTCCTCCCGAAACATCTAGTATCTCCTTTGCACCGTACATAGTTATTACAATATTATTGACTATATTCCCAGTGCTGTACTTTACATCCCCATGACTGTTTTCTAATTACTAATTTGTACTTAATCACTTCATCTTTTTCACCCAGCCCCCCAACCCCTCTCGCTATGAGTCTCTTTCTGTTTTATTCATTTATTTTGTTCTTTAGATTCCACATGTAAGTGATCACTTATATGTGACATCTATTTTTTTAAGGGACTTTCCTCAAGGAATTCTAATGTGCAGCTAAGGCTGAGAGACATTCTTGATCCTCTGTAAGAACTTACATCCCAGAGCTCCTATATCTTCAAGCTTTCTCTCTTATTGGCTCCTTTTCCACAGGAAAAACTCAAGCTTATCTGTGGCCTGTCCCAAAAAACATCTTAACCTTGTGTTCTCCTTTAGCTATCATTCTTTCTTATTTCCTATACATACCTTCTTTCTTAAGGGTAATTGAAAGTTCTTTTCTTCTTTGGAATCTGATACCATTCCCTCTGGTTCTCATTCTTTCTATTTATTCCTTCATAATTGCTTTTGTGAACTTCACTTCTTAATTTAAAGTGTTAGCATGACCCAAGATTTGGTGTTTGCTCTTCTTTTCCTCTGTCTATACCTTCTCCCTGGACAGTTCGATCTATTCCAATTTTGCTTTTTGTTTTTTGTTCTAGTTGTATTGAACCAGATTATATTTCCAACCTTAACCTCTCCTTCAAACACTTCAAATTCAACATATCAAAAACTGAACTCATGATTTCCCTCTTGTAACACCATCTTTCCCCTGTCCTCTGATATCATTTCCTTTCAGCCTAAAAAACTTGCCTTAATATTTCTTGCAGTGTGAATCTGGTTGTAACAAATCTCCTTTGTTTTTCATTTATCTGAAAATGTCTTTATCTTCATTCTTCAAGGACATTTTTGTTGTATATAAAATTCTGGGTTGACACTTTTTTTTTCATTTCATTACTTGAAGCTGTTGTTCTACCTTCTTTCATCATTTCTGTTGAAAACTTTGTGGCCATTCAAGTCATTTCCCTATGTGTATTGTGCTGTTTTTCCTGACTTCTTTCAAGATTTTCTCTCTTTTTGGTTTTCAGCAGTTTGGCTATGATATATCTACACGTTTCCCTTCAAAGTTATCCTGTTTGAGGCATGCTGAGCTTTTGTATGTAAATTTACAAATGTGTTTCACAGAATTTGGAATGTTTCCCGCTGTTATTTCTAAAATATTTTCCTGCCCAATTTTCTTTCCTCTCATATATTAGACTTTTCGAAATTGTCCCATAAATCCTTGAAGCTTTGTTCATTTTTTTCAATTTTCTTCAATTTAAGATATAATTAACATACCATAAAATTTACCCATTAAAATGTACATTTTAATGATTTTTAATTTACATATAGAGTTGTGCAACCATCACCACAATCTAAGTTTAGAACATTTATATCAACCCCCAAAGAAACCAGAACCTATTAGCAGTACTTGCCATCTACCTCCTAGCCCTACACAATCTAAACTACTTTCTGACTCTGGATTTGCCTCTTCTGCATATTGATGTAAATGGAACCATACAGTATGTGGGCTTTTGTAACTGGCTTCCTTTACTTAGTGTATTCATTCTTATTTTTCTGTTTTCTTCAAATTGAATGATTTCAATTATCTTAAAGTTTACTGACTTTCCCTCTGTTCTCTCCATTCTGCTCTTAAGCTTTTCCAGTGAATTTTGCTGTTTCAGAAATTGCTTTTTTTCAGTTCTAAAATTTCCATTTGTTTTTGATAAAATCTGTTTCTCTGCTGAGATTTCTTATCTCTTCATTGACTATGAATGTCTATTTCTTTACTTGACATAGTTATAGGTGTTTTACAACCTTATCTGATAAATCAACGTTTGAGTTATTTCAAGGTTGGCCCCTGTTGATTTCTTTTCCTTTGAGAAACTCCTGGCTCTTTATATGTCAGGTAATTTAAGTTATACCTTGGGCATTGTGAATAGTATGTTGGACTCTGGGTTCTGTTATATCAGTCAGAAAAGAGTTGATGTTTTTGTTTTAATAGGTAATTAACTGAGACTCAAATTGAATACTGTTAGACCTATAGGAGGGCAGTGAGTTGGATCTCAATTCAATTCTATAATTTAAGCCTTAGTTGCAAGCTACTTTTGGTTTTCCCTTGAATCCATGATTCAGGGTCAGCCAGAGACTTGCTTTGAGGTTTTTTTTTTTTTAATAAATTTATTTATTTAAATTAGTTTCAAGTATACAGTACATTGGTTAGACATCTATATTGTTCATAAAATGATCGCCCCAATTGCTCCCTCCCTCCTCTGGCCTCCACTTAGCCATCATATTAATACTAACTGCATTCTCTCTGCCATGCTCCCTATCCCCATGCCCAACTATCAACTACTAATTAGTACTTCTTTAACTCTTCACCCCATTCTCCCAGCCCCCTAAACCCAGTCCTCCCCTCTGTCCATCACCAAATTGTCCTCTATATTTATGCATCTGTTTTTGATTAGTTTGTTCTTTTTGTTCATTAGATACCGCATATAAGTAAAATCATATGGTATTTATTTTTCTCTGTCTGACTTATTTCACTCAGCATAATAACCTCTAGGTCCATCCATGTCGTTGCAAATGGTAGGATTTCGTTTTTTTTAATGGCTGAGTACTGTTCCGTTGTATATATGAACCATAATTTCTTTAATCATTTGTTGATGGGCATTTAGGTTGCTTCCATATTTTGGCTATTGTAAATTGTGCTGCCGTGAATATTGGAGTGCATAGATCTTTACGAATTATCGTTTTGGTTTTCTTTGGATAAACACCCAGCCGTGCAATTGCTGGGTCAAAAGGTATATCCCTTTTTAATTTTTTGAGAAACCTCCATACTGTTTTCCATAGCAGCTATACTAATTTGCAATCCCACCAACAATGTATAAGGGTTCCCTTTTCTCCACATCCTCGCCAACACTAGTTGTTTTTGAGTTTTTGATGATAGCCGTTCTGACAGTTGTGAGATGATATCTCATTGTGGTTTTAATTTGCATTTCTCTGATGATTAGTGACCTTGGACTTGCTCTGAGTTTAAACAGAGAGTTAGGGTTTCCCTTTCTCTGGCTCTCTCCAGGGTTATCCCCTCACTCTGGAAGCTCTTGTTGCCCCATGTCTCCTTTTCTTAGTTCCTCTGGATTGAAAGATGGCACATTTTTCTATTGGCATTTTAGCTGCCTGGTACTAATGCTGCAACTGTGGCTGCCCTTGAGATAAAACCACAAAAGATGAGTCATTTACCCCAAGCCAATCACATGCTTCAGGTATCGACTCTCCTCCAAAAATTTCATATTTTTCTTTAATCTCTATTGAGCCTTCAGGTAGTTTTTATATTTTTTCCAGAGTGCACAACTAATGCAGGTAGTTTGGTTTGGTAAGTATTTACTCTTCCACACAGGAAGCAAAGTTGTTTTGGTTTAATTTTAAAGGATAGAAAGAACATTGTAGATAAATTGAAGTTCTCCTATGTTTCCTTCTGCAATCCCATTGCTCTCCTTCTATCCCCAGAGACAACCCCTTTCACAAATTTTGTTCATATTTTTTACTGAAACAGTATAGCTTGGAGGTTTGGAGTATGGGCTCTGGATTCATCCTGCCAAAAATAACTTTAAATGTACTTATCTTCTCTGTGCCTTAGTTCTCTCATCCGTAAAATGGGGATAATAATACCTACCTAAAGGGTTGATATCAAAGATTGAGATAATTTATGTAAAGCACTTAGGATAGTATCTAGCACTTAGTAAGCACTCAGTATATTTTGGTCATTGCTTGTTTACGATTACTCTTACTATAACTTTACTATATCTATATAATATTTTATGTGGTTTTAAGAAAATTTACACACAGAAGAGTATATTTAAAGCTTTTGTTCAACATAAGTATTTTGAGTTCTTTATAATTCTTTCCCTTCACAGCTCTGTTTTCTCTTTTATGTTTTTGAGCCATATACTTTTTTATTTTTAATCTTCGGTGCCAATTGTAGAAACTAGCATATAAAAGACAGTCTGGGAAACTTAAATCGAAGTGTGTCATTGATGAGTTTTGTTAACTTTTTGGTAAACTGTTTCTCCACAGCTGTCTTCTGTACAGGTGGAAGAGATGGCAATATTATGGTCTGGGACACCAGGTGCAACAAAAAAGGTAGTCTAGTTCCATTTCATTTTTTTTTAATAGTGACATTGGTTAACTAAATCCAGTAAGTTTCAGGTTCCATTTCAATTTTGATAAATGTTGACTGTCCCCATACTTAATTATTTTGAATGAAAGGTTTATTGATTTTACCTAATAACTACCAGGGTGGCACATGTTCTTAATCTTCCATTTCTGCTTATTATTCTAATTCTAGGATCTAAGTGATTGTTGCAGGTATTACCCTCTATATTTACCTCATTTTGTCTTCTGAACTATGGTGCTGTTTACCTAATTTATTGATGGAATTAAAATTATTAATACATGGGCTCACTGGTAAATGATCTTTTATTTTAATTAGGTTTTTTGGCTTTAAAAGAATTGGATTAGATTAAATATGATTGTGCTTGCATTGCCCAGTGATGCCGTTAAGCAGAAATCAGTGATCATATCCATGCTTAATTCTTTTTTTAAAAAAAATTATTTTTCAACAGACTTTTTTAAGTGGTTTTAGATACACAGCAAAATTGAACAGAAAGTACAGCGTTCTCTGTCCCCACACAATCTCTCCCTCTGTCAACATCCCACACCAGAATTAGACATTTGTTAATAGCTGATGAACATATACTGACATATCACTGTTACTCAAGGTCTGTTTATACTTTACATTAGAGTTCACTCTTGGTTTTGATAAGTGAATAATATATATCTATTATAGTATACAAGATAGTTTCACTGCTCTAAATATACTCTGTGCTCGGCCTGTTTATCCTGCCCCCTCCATCCCCTAGCAATCACTTATGTTTTACTGTCTCCATGTTTTTTGCCTTTCTCTGAATGTCATATGATTAGAATCTTAGAGTACGTAGCCTTTTCAGATTGGCTTGTCTTACTTAGTAATATGTATTTAAGGTTCCTCCATATCTTTTCTTGGCTTGGTAGCTCATTTCTTTGAATAATAAATATGTCATTGTCTGGACACACCACATTCATACATTCACTTACTAAATGACATCTTGGTTGCTTCCAAGTTTTGGCAATTATGAATAAAACTGCTATAAATATCCATGTACTTATTTCCTTTTTATACATTATAATCTCATCATAAGAGATGTAGTGCAGTAGCTTTGCTGGCTTCTAATTTCACTAATCTAATAAAGGATAATTAATTTTTGAAATCTTACGTATAAATGTTATGTTCAGCATAGGAGTAAAGTTCTGAATCCTAAATCAGTAATCTCTGGAATATCTTTCAGATGGATTTTACAGGCAAGTGAATCAAATCAGTGGAGCTCATAATACCTTAGACAAGCAAACCCCTTCGAAGCCTAAGAAGAAACAAAATTCGAAAGGACTTGCTCCTTCTGTGGTAAAGTGTTATAATTGTATACATGCGTATAGATCTTAGTAGTGGGATAGAATCTGATTTTAGGGAATTTATTGGGCATAAATTAGGAGCTATAGATTAAGTGAATGAGAATCTTCATTTCCTCTTGATATCAGTGGGTTTATTGCTTAGTGCTCATTCAATACCTACAATATTGGTTTTCAAAACCTAATGTGCAACAGAGTAATCCGGGGAACATGTTAAAAATTCACCTTCCTTTGCCCCATCCCTAGGGATCTCCATGCATACACTTTATCTACAGTATTCATTAGGAAAGAGAGAGTAGTTTTAAGAAGCATGTTAAGTACTATGATAGTTTTCTATGGGAGGGAGGGATCCCTGTTTTCATAACAAACTACAGAAAAGATGGGAGTTTTTAATATATTTTTTAAAAATTTGGCAAAATATTATTAAGTATTTTGGGAAACATTAGGCCAGAATGTAGTACCTCTCTAACATCTGTTGGTCAAAATCAAAGAATGCCCATAATACATCTTTTTACTTAAAAAACAAAACACCATTGCTCTTACTTTAATGTGTTTATTTTTCTAATATTACTGGTCTATCGAATCCAAGTTAATACTTTGAGGAGGTGTGGTTACTAAAACATTAGAACTTAAAATAGCATACAATGAACAGGACATAGGCATGAAAGGAAACTGAGAGGGTTGGCATGAGGTCTTTGGAGGTCAGATGAAGTTAAAATGAGTAACATTTCAGAATTTAATCAGACTCTGAGCCAAGAAAACTTTTTAACAGTCATTAGAAGGTAAAACTCATTAATTAAGCACCTTTAAATTTTTCAGAGCATGTAATCATCTTTCATTAGTAATGATGTACACACTCTTATGTGGTAATCTGGGTAGACAGTAACATTTTATAGATGAAACAGGAAAGTTAAATGAGTTTCTTGTGGATACATAGCTTATTGGGGCTGAGTCTTAAGTAGAGCCAGTAGGTTTAAACAAGTGAAATCTCTTGATCACCAATTTGTTTCTTGACTATAAGTCAAAGTGTTAACACTATATAGTATCATTTAATGATGTTTAGGTTATTTCCTACTAAAAGTACTTCTTGGTCAGCATATATATCTGATTTTTGGAGAGGAAAGGATTATTGGAAAGAAAAGATTTAGTCTAACTCAGAGTTTGGGGGGAGAAAAAGCAATTTTAGTACCTTGGTGACTTGAAGGTGAAGATTGCAATATCCAAAATAGAATTTCCTTCTTTTCTCCCTTGTGCCGTTAGGATTTCCAACAGAGTGTTACTGTGGTCCTCTTTCAAGATGAGAATACATTAATCTCAGCAGGAGCTGTGGATGGGTAAGAGTTCATTTTTTGGTTCTTTAGACAAGGTCTGTTTCATGAACTGTGATGGTGAAATCATAGCCCCATTATAACTGAATGTATTTGCTTTTAACTTTTAACATAGTGAGTACCCAGGTGAGAATAGAAACTACAGATCATACTGGAAAAGATCTAGTTAGGACTCTTGCTCAATTAATTGAAATAATATACATGTCACACTTAGCACGTTACGTAGCACGTATGAGCAGTGTTGGCTGCTGCTATTGTAGAGAACCTGGATAGGTAGCTTGCTTGTCTATGCACTATAATTTAGTCAGTGATCTTTTTTTGAGGAGTAAAATTTCTGTTATCTTGGAGCTTATCTTCTCGGGTTTAATAATATCCTAAAAGAAGAAATCTGATTGTAAACATGTAATTGACATTTCTAGGATTGATAGTAAGGCCTGATGACTTTTACATACCTGCAACCCATCCATGATTGGTCTGAATTTTTGTCTTCCAAATAAGTTTATGGTACTTCTTGATTGGTTGCTTTGTTAGAATATAAGTTATGTGAGAACAATGACTCTTTCTTTTCTAAGCACCCTTTGCTCCCTTATTTGCTCATTATATCTCCAGGACATTGATGCCTTCAACAAATGTAATTTAAAAAGGTGATGGGTTAATAAAGTAGGATATCCGTTATGTCCTCTGGACACTAAAACTCTTCTGTGGACCCAATTCTCAGGCCCGAATGAAGGATTATCTGAAAGTTAATCAGTTGTGCCAGTGAATAGCTGTGAGAGCTTTTTCTGTATGTTTCCAAGGATACTGACTGCCCTGTTCCAAGCTTGTGTTTTCAAGTTGCCTACAAACTAGATATAGAGGAATAAGACAAATATCCCATTAGATGAAATGAAAAAGTACTTTATTTTACAGGAAAATTTGTTTAGATTACTTAAAGAGTTACATATAGAGATATAACCATAGGAACAGAGCTTGTTACTTATGTTGTCAGAGGTTATATGGAGATTATTAAAGGCTTAGGAGGTTTTTTTTTCCTGCAAGCAATGAAACAATGACTATCAGTGACCAACTTTCATCTTCCTTTTCCGCTCCTTTGAAGTAAACGAAAGGTAACTCAACACTGGGTCAGGTCACATCTGTTTCCCTTCTACCAGAATTGTAAGCCTGACATTGGAGACAACGGTATGAGATAATTCAGTCTTTCATGATGAGATGTCCTCACTGTACCTGGTTGATGTCCCAGAGGAGTTAGATTAAAAGTCATTTCATATTCAATATAGTTGGAACTGGTTGGGGTTGGAGAAGGACTACAAAGAAATAGAATAACTATTTCTTTACCTTGGTTTTTAGGGTAATCAAAATATGGGATTTACGTAAGAATTATACTGCTTATCGACAAGAACCTATAGCATCCAAGTCTTTCCTATACCCAGGTAGCAGCACTCGAAAACTCGGTAAGCTTTTTCGTAGACTATGGGACTTTTTTGTAGGACTTTTTGGGAGATGTAAGTTTTTGTTAAAATTTTAAAATATCAAATTTATTTTCAGCAACACAGACTTGAGAAACTAATATGTGGTTATATAAACAAGAACATTTTTGGTTTGTATATATTTCAGGGAAGAATTTTGATGATTCTTCTAATGGAATAATCTTTTAGCCTCAATATTTGACCTCATTACTTCTCACTGTCACCAGGACATGCTAACTAAAGTTTCCTTTCTCCAGGATACTCAAGTCTGATTTTAGATTCCACCGGCTCCACTTTATTTGCTAACTGCACAGATGACAACATCTACATGTTCAATATGACTGGATTAAAGACTTCTCCAGGTAAGAGCTTAGTCATTCAAATTCTTACCCAGAAAGTAAAACAGACTTTTTTGTTAATGATAATTTAATGTTGATTTTTTTTCTAAGCCAAATTTATTAAGACATAGGATTTTAGGGTCTTGGATTAATTCTAGCAGTGTTTTCATAGGTGTACTTTCCTTGCGATGATTTCACAAGTATAAACAGAATCCTTCTCTATGTGACATAACTTTTGGCTATGTTAAGAATTATCTCAATTTTTGTGGGCTGTTCTACTCAACTTTTGTCTTGGTTGTGGGTTGTTCATTAAATTAGGGCCTGAATTTTTTAAGCCCCTAAAATAATTCTTACCTATCTCAGCCTTCTCCATGTTAGACAGACTGTTTTATCTCTTTTATGTTTTCCTCACCTTTACCCGTTTTTTCTTCAAGAAAATTAAAAGTGAAATCTGATATTTTAAGCTCATAAATGACATTTTAAAAAAGAAACCATAGTTTCTCTAGTGTCCTCTAATAAGAGTTATTTGGGTTGCATAATTTTAAGAACATTATTAATTACTTAAGCAAACTACATATTAGTAATCTGGCTCTTCCTCAGATATGGCTCTGTCGGAAACAGACTTTGAATTCTATAACCAATTTCCCTGATCTACCCAGTTTCCACGAAAGTAAGATGTGCTAGTAAACAAGAAATCTCAAAATAGTACAGAACTTAGCAGGCGTTTATAGAAGTTTCCAAAGACTGCCCCAAGCCATTATTAGGACTTTATCTGTGACAGCATCACAGTTGGCATTTCCAATGCCTTGAAATAGGTCTAGTGTTGTCTAAACAAGATGAGCATTTGGGAAAAGGATTTTATAACTTTTGCTGTTTTCCTGAATGGAATCAGAATTTAGACAACTTCTAATTTGGGTATCATTTTGTTATAGCGTGGCACTGAAAGGAACCTGGAGTTCAATTTGGTCCCTCTGCCATGAAACAGATATGCCCAAGGCCACTTTACTAATAATTCAGCAACTTTTTTCCTGTGCTCCTAAAATAATTTAATTGACTCTCTAGATACATAGATATGTAGATAGATAGATAGATAGATCGATAGATAGATAGATAGATAGATAGATATTTCTTATTCAGGAAAAGGGCGACAAATGTGTGTTGTGTGTGACACATCTGGTAATTGCTTGTCTTTTTCAAAACTTCAAAAAGGATCCTGGGCTCAATACTTGATCTCCCATACTTTTAATTCACAGTATTTTATTACACTATGTGATGCTCATAAGGACAACTCTGAAGCACTTTAATGAAGCATTTAAGAGCCCAAATTATCAAAGAAAGATTAAATTGATCTAATTAAAGCCAAGAGGTTTGAGAAGTATTTTTTGCATGATTCGAGACATTAATAGTGTACATTTTGCTAGCCTTTCTTACTCCAGCAGAGGGCAATAAATACTTACAGGTTTAGTGGGAAATTTGGTCTACAGTTTTCCATTCATAGTTTAGAGTTGAGAAAGATGAACAGTTAGATTTTGGAGTTGTATTCAGAATAAAGGAGTCTGTTTATTTTATTTATTGTTAGGGTGGAAGAAATTTTCCTGTATCCTTCTAAGTTTTTCTGACTGATCTAAGAATTAAATTGATGTGTCACAGATTTACAGGAGAAAATTCAATTTAATTTTGTACATAAGGGGTTCCACAAGATTATTGGATGAGGGCAAGGACAGACTGGGCAATTGAGCTTATATGCTGTCTTGAGCTAAGGAGAAGGAGGTAGTGGTTTGGGACTTCAGAGGGGAGGAAGGCAATTGTTTGCTAAATAAATGTTTGCTGAGCTATACAGAGACAAGAGGACACAGAGCAAATCTCCGATCTCTAGTCTTCTCTCACCATACCTAGCCCATATTCTTTATAGATAACTCTGGTAATAGCTCTATTCTGGGAACATGCCCTTTATCTAAATTCTTTTAGACAATTAAAGGGGAAGTAACAAGAAAAACTTCATGAGTCTTCTGTTTCTTAGAAATAATCGGCTTAAATTAACTCTCATGCCAAAGAGACACAAAACAATCCAGAAGCTGAGTTGGTAGATTGCTCCGTCTCACTGAACCAGTCTCTTAGTCCTGACAGTAGCCCAGTTAAATTCATTTCAAGAGGCAGTCATACACGTGGTCTCCCAAGTTAGTCCTATATGTGTAAGCAAGAATTTAGTTATTTAATAAGAGGCATGTCTGGGGAAACAAAAGAAAAACAAAAGTTAATGGTTAGAGCAAATTATAAACTAGTTTATGAGCCTAGGGGGCAGCCAGTCAAGATTTCTGGACGTCAGGGTTGAAGCATCTTTTACAATTTGAAATGTCTTTGATGATGTCATCAGATGTTCAGGTAAACTTTCTGAATGGCTTATGCAACAACAGGCATGAAAATTGTCTAAACATGGAATATTGTGATGATCTCTCTTAAGTTTATATTAAGTTGTTAGCTTTAGTTTGCAGGGCTTCAGGAAAAGGGCAGTTTTAGTTCTCAGTGATCCCAACTCGAAAGTGGAGGAAAACTTGGAAATGTTAGTTTAGAGAGTCGTTAGCCAAGTATTTGAGGAAACTAGAATTCAGGATCCAGTACAATTTGTAGGTAAACAACAAAACCTCAAAGACAGTTAATAGAAATAGAATCTAATATCCACAAGTGTGTATTATAGTTTCCATTGGAACAAAATTTTTTTTTCCTCTAAAATCACCCTTATTTTTATCAAAGTTAGCCAAATTAAAACTAAGTTATTTGCAGAGTAAGTCTAGTTTCAAAAAACTTGGCCTAATTGTTTACATAAATGCATCAAGAATAGCAATTGATCATATAGGCTCTTTTAAATCTATATTGCTGGAACTTTCATAAGGAATCTCCAGATTAAACTTTTAACAGCCTCTTGAGATTAAGAAGCCAAGCCAAATACTTGCCATCAGATTTTACCTGAAATACCTTTAGATTTGGGTTAATTCCTCTCTTCTTGAGGTCTCCAAAATATCCTGAGGGTCCTATACCTGCCAGGAAGTTACCTTTCTTTCTACCTGGTAAAGCTGCTGGGAACCCTCTAAGCCAGTTATCAGTCTGATATTTCAGAGGGTCTTTATTGACTTCCATAAAGTTAATCTTAGACCCTTAAAGCTGTCTGGTCGTATCTGAGTCTATGCATGTCTCTCTCAAACATGACATTCCAGTCAAAGCTTTGGTAATATAACAAGTATTTCCAATTGTGTCCTGTAACAAAGAGAACCGATTCTTAGTGAATTTATGTAAATAACTATACTGCCATGGAAATAAAAATACCGACTAAGACTTTGCAAATTCTGTAGGGATCAAATAGGGAGAAAAAGATAAATCTTTCAATTCTGCTTAGAAAGGTATAATTTACCAAATTGCTGTGGATCTTAGGTAATTCAGGAGGAAGAAAATCGTCCTTGTTTCTATAAACTAAAGATTAAAGAACCAGTAATACTTCGAATAAAAAGTTATAAAAATTATAATCATCTTCATTAGTTCATTTAGTCCCGTATAATTAATTCTCATTGATATTGATCTTTTGTTAGCAGTTTTATGAAGCCATCAATTTCCATTAGAGTTACAAATGCTTACCCAGTTCAGTGATATGATCTGAAAGTTATCAGAAACCTGTATTGTAGAATATTTTCCATGAATCTCTTTGGAGATGAAGCACATTTGCAAAAGCATCAGTGTAAAACAAAAAATACTATAAATGACAAAAACTTAGTTAAAATCTGATTACAATGTAATTGACAAGGAAATTTAGTTATCTCTCTAGCACTTTTTAAGATAGTAGAATTATGAGTCATAACACAACCAGGAAATTTTTTTAGGGATTGCATATAATTTTTAGAACACTTATGTTAATAAAATTCACCCACGCAATATAACTTAAGGTTTATCATCACTTATTTGACACTGTTTTCCATGTAATTTAACATACCAAATGAGCCAAATTAGTTTAATGGCATTTTTTCTTTTCTTTTCTTTTTTTTTATAAAAAGAAAACAAATCCTTTGAAATGTTCTAGGGGCCCTCTAGAAAATTACAAAGTTAGTTGAAGTCAAAAGGACTTCATTTAGAATTTGATCATGGGAAGTTTGTCAAAAAATATCAAAAGGTTTTAGAACACTCAAATATGATCATAGGTCACTGTGAAACAATACTTAGTTCTCCATTTAATTGTGGTGACAATTAAAGACTTTTCAGGTAAATGCCAAAAATTAAATAGTTGTAAGTAAAACTTAGCTCTTAAAATCAAAGGCTTGATAAAACAACATAGGAGATTATTTAGATAAAACATAAAATCACAATTTTTTAGGTAGATTGCTTATAGGTAAAGAAAAACCTTTCATAATCTCTTCACCAAGAGCAGACCAAAGTCCAGTAAAACTCTGTTCTTTTAACATAGAGAAAACCGATTTCTAATTTCGCATCAGCTTTCTTTTGATATTAAAACTCATTTACTTAATTAAATTCATTCCAATCTTAACCAGTTTGACCATGCATAAAACTCTTTTCTCAAGATCCTTTTTCACAAACCTATAACTTCCTTTTTTGCATTCAGATTATTTGAGTAGCTTTAATTACATATATTAATTAGAATTTTTAACCCTTACAAACCTTGATTTCTAGTGAAAACTAAGAAGTAAGCAATTGTGGACTGTTTGTTATGCCAGTATTTTTTTTTTTTTGATTGGCAAACTATGGATGTAATCCATAATTTCTAGAAACATGTTTGCTCATAGTACAATCTTTCAGTAAAGCACATGCATAGTTACTGATAGACCCAAACACAGTAGGTCCAAAATATGGTATCTATTGATTCGCATCCTGCTTAACTTCACAGTGAAAGTGTTTGATATGTAGGCTTTTTCTTGAAAAGCTATAAATACAAAGTTTTTTTCCAGTTTTATTCTAGCAAAAGGTAGGAATTTCTGGGAAATCAGATTTCTGGAAAGCTGTTAAGTTCCTTAATAATGCTTCTTTCCCCTCTGTTAGAATATTAGAGTGAAATTTTTTCGTGCCTAAATGTATTCTTAAAATGTATTCTTAATTTCTCTGCTGGCAGATTATGTGTGGTCTTTGTTATGCCAGTATTTTTTTTTTTGATTGGCAAACTATGGATGTAATCCATAATTTCTAGAAACATGTTTGCTCATAGTACAATCTTTCAGTAAAGCACATGCATAGTTACTGATAGACCCAAACACAGTAGGTCCAAAATATGGTATCTATTGATTCGCATCCTGCTTAACTTCACAGTGAAAGTGTTTGATATGTAGGCTTTTTCTTGAAAAGCTATAAATACAAAGTTTTTTTCCAGTTTTATTCTAGCAAAAGGTAGGAATTTCTGGGAAATCAGATTTCTGGAAAGCTGTTAAGTTCCTTAATAATGCTTCTTTCCCCTCTGTTAGAATATTAGAGTGAAATTTTTTCGTGCCTAAATGTATTCTTAAAATGTATTCTTAATTTCTCTGCTGGCAGATTTTCTTTTTCTTTTATTTCCTTGTAGTAGTGTTCTGATGCCAGAGACCTCAGGTTTTGGTCTCCTTAGGATAGAAGAACCTATCGATCACATTATACTAGATTGGATTATTTGCCTTTTTACCGTGGATAGTGAGAAGTCTAAACCTAAAGTCTAAACGTAACCTAGTTGGAGTATCTTACAAATGAACATAGCTACTAGCTACTTCTACTATTCAAGCTATTTAAAGTGCTAGGTTAAAAAGATTCCCTCATCCCATATAAGCTATCTATAAATCCTAACTCTTTTTACTGATATTTTTACCTATTCATGCAACAAATGTTTGAATACCTATTCTATTTAAAGTACTATAATGTCTAATGAGGACAGAATAAGATATGTGAAATTTATCCTCAAGAGATTTGAAAGAAAGACCAATGTATTATGCAATGGAAAAAGCCCTACCCTGGGATAGAGAGAGAGTGTATAATAAACGCATTTTACTAAAAAATTGGACATTGGTTCCATTCTTGTCCTTTAAGAAGGTTTTTCTTCGCTTTCTTTATAATCAGCCCCATATCAAATATTTGGGTTTAGATCATGAGATTAAGTCTAATATAAAGCCTCTTTCTGATATGTCCTTTATTTTCTGGCAATGTCCAGTTCCCTTTTAATTTGGTGAATATAGCTTGACCATCAGCTTCAATAGTCAATACACTAATAAAACTCATTAGAACATGTATACTATCTGCATTTTATTTGAACACTGGAAATAAAAAAATAAGTAATTTGATTTTTCCCCCTCTGGCAGTGGCTATCTTCAATGGACATCAGAACTCTACCTTTTATATTAAATCCAGTCTTAGTCCAGATGACCAGTTTTTAGTCAGTGGCTCAAGTGATGAAGCTGCCTACATCTGGAAGGTAAGTAGTCAAACTTCCCCCACAAATGTGAGACTAAAGTATTCTTACAAATATTTATTTTGTCCATGATGAAGTAAGTTTAGTGTAAACACATACTATTAACTTTTTCTACCTTAGATGTTCTGTAAAAGTTGCTTCTTGCCTCTTAATGCAACCAAATTCTCACTCTGATTGTCACAGAATATATCACACTTTCATGGCCAGAGCTCAGAAATAACAGTCCGTATCCTCCAATAGTTTCACAGATTATTAGGAAATTTGGAAATCGGATGACTGGAAAGAACCTTAATTACTTTGTCTGGCTCCCTGGAAAAATATGCTGTTCTGCCTTTCTTGCCTGTGTTTTCAAACTCACATTGAAAATACGTGTAGTATTTTGATCATTTCAGTCTATACCCAAAATAGCCATAGAACCTTGCACAAAACACTCAGAAATATTTGGATAGTAATTGTATTCATTACTCTCGTCTTATAAGTGGTTCAGTCTTCAGGCTGCTAAAATAGATGTGGCTACTCTATTAGTTTCGTATATATTTAATAGCATTGTTTAATTTTTTTTTTTATTTTACAGATTTCCCATTCTTATTACAAATTTATATGTATATCTACACACACATATTTTTACTTTTGAAATAACAGTGATTCTAAAGCTAAGAAATTTAAAGCTGTTCATTTGAAGTCCAATGGGGAAAATTGAAATGTTACACACCAAGTAGCACTTGCTGACCACTGAAAAATGGCTCTCATGGGAATAATTAATCATAGAAATGTCTGGGAGTTGAAGAGAAAGCAGAACATTAGGCATTATTTTTCTAGAGCTAGAAATTATCTTCTAGGTTTCCCTGTAATTTCATAAATGTCCTTGATGTTGGTGAACTGAAATGTCCTTGACAATAACTCTAAATTCCAAAATGCATGAACTCACAATAATGTCTAAAATTTTATAGGCTCATAGGTTCAATCAGATCCCTTCTCAGGAGAAAATTATATTATTTTTAGTCCTGCCAACTTCTAGGAAATCATATCTTTAATGTTGTTTTAGGACCAGGGTAGAACCTGCCAGGTGTGAAGCATAGTTCTTTAATTTCGTCCGGTCTTGGGATAAGTATTAACAAATGATTTCTCTATATATCTAGAGTTGCAAAAATGCAACGCTGCCTTATTAAAAGCTTTTAGTAACAGTATTCTAGATGGTCACAAGGTGGAGATATTGTTCTATGCAAGATGCTTTTGTGTTGGAGTTCCCTCTTTCTACAAGCATATTTATTTTATTTGTTGTATTTTTAAGTGTAAATTTGCTTATAAAACATATACTTGAGGCTTCTGTCTTGTGATAAGAGTTTTTAACCTAGCTTTTTGTCTAAAAAATTCTTCTGACTTGAGCTTTAAAGTTTAATAATGTATGTCACCAGCACTAGTGCTTCTGCCTTTTATTTTCGAATTTGGTCTTATGTATATTATTTCACTATTTTCCTGTTTTCCCATTCTCCTTCTTTCACTGTCTTTTAACTACATTTCTTTCTCTAACTTTGGCTCCCAACTTATCAGGAGTTTATTCCTACCAAAGTTTGTATCTTTTAAATTTCTTTCTTCTTAAAAAGAAATTCAGACATGCCAAAAAGTATAATAAAGGATTATCAAAAAAATACTTATGCACTGATTATTTGTTAAAATCAATTTCTTAATAATATGCATAATTATATAAATAATTATATGTTATGTATATATGTCTGCGTGTATGTATACAGATATAGTTCTACTGCCAATTCTTAAAAAGTTCCTCCCTGTCTCTCTTCTCTAATGTACAAAAGCCTTTTTTTGTTGTTTCAGGGAATGAGAGTTGAGGCATATTTCCTCTCTTTAAAGACATAGCGAAGATACTTGACTGTTGTTGTTAACCCATTTTCAGATATTTAATTAGTGGCTATCACATACATGGGTGACACTTTCTGCATTCCAAAGCTGGGTCACGTGTTAGTGCTGAAAGACGTGGTTCAGACATGATGTTCTCCTGCCTGTCCACACATAACTCAGTGTGCGGACTCTGATATTTGAGATCCTGGCAAGCTTACTGCTCCTAAAATTGAATTTGCCTAGTGAGGTCTCTCAGTTTCTCTTTCCCATGATAATAAAAAGGAGAGGGATTTAAAAACAATTTCACACAAGCTGAGTATCCAGCTTGTTAGGTTGTCTTATAATTCTGCTACATTTTCAAAAAGTCAGAATTCTCTCAAGTGTTAGAAATTTTCCTACACTGAAAAGTCCATGGGCACAAGAAGACACAGTGAAAGAAAGGAGTTTTAGATCTGAAGACACAGAGTCACCTTTTAATCCTCACCACTGTCCAGCAAAGGGGAGATGTAATGTAGTTAGACTCTCTGATATTGAGGTCCAAGATTTAAAATAAAAAGATTTAATGTTATATTTTTCCTGTTTAATTCCCTACCCCTTCTTCCACCCATTCCCTTCCCCCCTTCCATGGTTCATTTCTGATATAGTCACTAAATAGTATTGAAGTGGTTATAAATAAACTGATTTGGCACAGTCATTCTACTGCCGACTGGCAAAACCTTGAGCCTGACACTTTAGGAAGTGTAAATGATCTCATGGCAGAAATGAAGGTTAGATTTGGTTTCTGACTGGGCAGAGTAAGGAAATTATTTGAGGAAAGGTGCTGATCTATTTTGCATGTTTAAGTGTATAAAATGTCTTATATGAGGTCTGTAGGTTAGAGCCAGTTATTTCTAGAGGTACTTTCATAGTTCTAGGAATTTAACTTTGAGATTCTTATACCTTGAAGTAAAGTCTTTATTCTATAACAAGTAGGATATGTAAGAGAGGACAATTTTTTGTGTTTTGACCATCCCCAGAGTGCATAGTTATAAATGTTTCTTGGACTTAATAGTCTCCTCTTCCTACTTAAAAGTAGAGGGAGGCTTTTTAAGAAATAAAATCATGTAATTATGGTTATATTTTTATGATGAAGTGACAATAAATAAAAAACATATTTGAATAAAAACAAAGCCACCTGAGTTTAATTAGAGGAAATTAATCTGCTTTGAAATAGTCCCCAAGTATACTATACCATGCTAGGATAGTCCTAACCTGTGAAAACACTTGCTGCTAATGTTCGTAAAAACTGTCGGCAGACATTAGTTCTCATTTAAACCCACAACATGCCCCTCTCTCCATTTTAAGAAAATTTAGATAGAATTCGTATAATGTAAAATTCACTATTTTAGTCATTTTAACATGGTTTTGAGTATACTCACAATGTTATTCAACCATCACCATTGTCCCATTCGCATTTTTATCACTCCAAAATGAAATTCCATACCTTTTAAGAGTCACTCTCCATTCCCCCACTGGCCCTAGCCCTTGGCAAACCATAGGTTAGTGGTTTTGCCTATTCTGGACATTTCATATAAATGGAATCATACAATAATGTGACCTTTTATGTCTGGCTTCTTTTTATTTAACATAATGTTTTCAAGGTTTGTCATTGTTTCATATATCCTTTTTATGGCTGAATATTCCATTGTATGTATAGACCACATTTTATTTATTTCATCAGTTGTTGGACATTTGAATTATTCTTTTTCTTCAGTTGTTGGACATTTGAATTATTCTTTTTGGCTTTATGAATAAAGCAACTATGAAAAATTGTGTACAAGTTCTTGTTTGAACATATATGTTCAGTTCTCCTAGGAGTACATTCCTAAGAGTAGAATTGCTGGGTTATATGGTAATTAATTCTGTTTAACTTTTTGAGGAACCTTCCCCCTATTTTTAATGGCTATATAAAGTACCTGGCTCATGGTAATTATTCAACAAATGCTGACTTTTATCATTATTATTATTATTATCATTATTCCTAGTTTATTATCAAATTGTAAATTTTTTCAAGGGATCTATCCTTTGTTTTTTCTCTTAGATCCTATAGATAAATTCAGTAATGTACATACATTCTGTTGGTGGATGTTTGGTTTTTCTTGAAATTTATTTTAATCTTAGAGTACATGTTTAGGTTCTCCTAGGCATTATAATGGTTGAGACCCATTATAAGAGGAGGAAGGAGAATTTTCGTGAGTATTGAGATAGTTAGATACTATATTGAAAGTCTTCTAAAATAGGCTACCTTGTGAGAGAATAAGTTATTGTTCTCTGTGGCATTCTAGGAGTAGACATTGAGACCCTTTAGGATACTATTCAGCAAAAAGCTTCCTTTTCTGTTAAACTTTAGTTAACCTAGCAAGGCAAATTACACTCTGTTCTTTGTCTTCCTTTGCTTTGAATCATTACATATGTGCTATTTAACCCAAGAGAGGAGTAGTAATTATTAAGTTGGATAACCTTATGAATCAGCATGTCAAATCTCTTAGCTACAATCTGAGGATTCTATTAAGTTTACTTAGTCATTCTCACAAATATTCTTTCGAGAGTCGCCTCCACTTTCTTCTTATAAATGAGCAATGATTCAGAGAATAATTTCTCTTTTTCAAACATACTTGCTAACAATAGTTATGTGAGTTTGTACTCCATATTGTGCTAATTATTTCCCATGGCTTCCGAAAGGGATTGACAGCTCTTGAATAGACAGCTGTCAAATTCATATCACTAGTGACATTCAGTGAGAGGGAAAACTGATTCTTAGTTGCATTTGTAGTATTACACAATGTGACCCTTTTTATACATTAAAATATAGCAATACTTGAAAATTCAATATTTCTTTAAGCAAATTAACTAAAATAAAACTTTGGAGGCATTTTTCTTCTAAAAATGATACCAAAGTGCCATGTAAAATATAGTTTATATCTTCTAAATGAAGGGGTATAACTTTGGATTGAGTCTTCTTTTGGAAGAAAAATTGCCCTCTTTTCCCAAGAGAGCTGGTAGCATATCTTAGGTACCTTAAAGATTTAGTTCATGTAGTGTTTGTTCTTAGAGGTTCTGGCTAGAGAAGATCTGAAAGTGTCTAAGCTCTGTAAAAACAGAACTCCACTTAAAGTGCACTACCTAGCAGCTGAACCTCATCCTTCCATAAAGTTTATCAGCTAAGAGGTGAGAGACAATACCAGTCTTGAATTTTAGTCAAAATATGTATGGCTAGATAGTCCCGATTTGAAATAAGACCTGTACTGGTATCTAAGCTCATTATTTACTTACTTTGACTATTTTCATTCTGTTTTCTCAGATCAATGACAAAAATACTTTCATTGCACATTGAGACTCATTTTCTGAGCTATAACTAGGCACGTCTAGGGGCTTTTGGTAACAACCCTAAAGATCTATAAGGCACAACTATGGAGAGATTCAAACCCTCTGTCTGGGTAACCTATACTGGTACTCTGCTGACTTGTTTGTTTTTTTGTTTTTGATTATGCACTAGGTCTCCACACCCTGGCATCCTCCTACTGTGCTCCTCGGTCATTCTCAAGAGGTCACTTCTGTGTGCTGGTGTCCATCAGATTTCACAAAGGTTCGTAAACAAATCTCCATAGTTATTTTAAAAAGTAGATCACAAATGTGTAAGTTTTCCCAAGGATAGAGAGTTATATAGTCTTCCATGCTTAAATAGAGATTTAAAAGATTTAGAGGCCATCCAGGATCTGTCAGCATTGATCATACATATCCCGCTTTACCAATAGAGAAATTGCATTATTCACTAAAGAATAAGGATGGATTTCTTGGTTCCCTAGAGCATTTCTTTCCTAAACATAGAATTGAGTTTTTAGCGTAATTAAAATTTCATCTTAAAACAGAAGGCGGGAACTAGTGTTTCTAACTTTCTGCATATTATAAATTTGGTGTATTGAAGGTAACATCTTGACTGTTCTTCCGGTTTGGGTTTTCACATTTTGCCTAAACGGTATTACTGTGAAGTCTTAACAATGTTAGGTTGTCTGTGACTAAATATCATAAGAAGTAGTTCCAAATGTTTTAGACATGCTGGGAAGAAGAAAATCCTCTCACATAAAAAAAAAATAAATAAATAATAGTGATACTCAAAAACAAATCAAAAACCTAAAATGTAGTAAGGCCAGAAACAAACTCCATGTGTGTGCAGTGCAGGGATTTCATATAATAGTAGCCCAAGTTCCACGCATTCTTCCGGCCCCTCTTGCACTGGTCTTTGGGTTAGTCTGGGTTCATAGGAAACCTCACTATGTGGACATCTCCCATTCTCATTTTGACATTTGGGAAGGTTTTGTTCCCATCTATTGTTTATCTTCCAGAAACTTCTCATGGTCTGGTCTACCTACTCCTGGCATCCCTGCTAGCTCTCCGGTACTATTATGGATATCTTTTATTCTGTATTCCTATATAACCATTTTCTGTGGTCAGCTTCATGATAGACCTTTTTTTGAAATCATTACTTTAATTACCAATAATTACATTGACATTACACCAATGTCATTTTCCTCTGAGAATCTGTGTAGCTTTCAGCAAAATATCTGCTTTTAACATAGGAGTTCTGTATCTTCATAGAACTTATACTAAGATAAATGGTTTTTTAATTATTCAGTTAATTATGTCATCTCTTTGTAACCGTCATGTGTTGTCCTTATTTCTATGCATAGAAAAGACTCAAAGGAAGTGGCAGGGCTGTTACCTATACTAATATAATGGCCACCATTTTTAAAAGTTTTTAAAAATAACTATGCCTAGCCTAGAGTTAGAAAGGTAAAATATAGTTTAAGAGGAAAAAAAAAAGATCTAGACTTAGAAATTGGAAATATTTGGATCTACTAGCTCTGCCACTTAATTATGATAACTTTGGGTAAATAACTTTATTCTCATTTTCTAGATGAAATTATTTGAGTAGAGGGCTTTTTATATTGTGAAAATTAAATAAGATGAAGAATGTAAATTGTCAGACACAGTAGGTACTCTTGTTAATAACCCTTGTTAATGGACTATAGAGTAACTGGGGATTCCAAGCATTTTTGTTAAGCAGTTAAATATGTGTGTCTTCTTTTGGCCTCCCAGTAAGGAAAGGAAAAAGCTGCCAGTCTCTTGGGGGCCAAGACTTAAGAGAACGTGTGTTCTTTTTTTCTATCTCTTTAGTGACTGAAATAGAGAAATTATATAAACAAATGCTGGGGAACAGCTCTGGTACCAGTGGCCATTTGCCACAAGCTCTTCAAGCTGGACTTTCTCTGCCATAAAAGGCTTGGGACCAAGATCAGGAATGGTCAGATATTTTTAAAGGGGCAAAGGTTATTTTTAACTTCTTTCAGCCAAGTTAACTTGTTGTTTTCCCAGATTGCTCCTTTACCTATCTGGAAAAAAATCTCAAAGGAATAGTTTCATTCTACTTGTCACAGCCTACCAGAGTCATGGACTAAGTCTGATCTTGGAAACGATCCCATTATTTTACAAATCAGCCAGAACATGCAGAATTCAGAAGAAAGTCGTAGGAATTGAATGTTGATCGATCATTTAAGAGGAAGAGAGAGTTAAAAAGATACCTTTATTAAATATTTCACAGTTATATAGATGGTGATAAAGATATTGACTTGCCCAACTTCTTGAAAATAAAATGAAATGAACCTGGTTTATAGTAGAGCTTTAGGTTTGGTAAGAAATGACTGGTAACGAAAGACATACCAGCAGAATGTGTGTAAAGAAGAACTAGAGAGTACACTTATTTGGAAATCTGCAGTGGTTCCTGAAAGCAAGGAATAGAATTATATTATCTTTCAGATCCTGTGTTCTACATCCTGTTATATCAAACAAAATAGTTTTCCAGTGATGAGCCTTTAAGACACATCTACTTTTTATTTTGTTGGAAATCTTTGATTGAAACTTCTTAAATCTCTTTCTTGTTCTCCTTAGATTGCTACCTGCTCTGATGACAATACACTGAAAATCTGGCGCTTGAATAGAGGCTTAGAGGAAAAACCAGGAGATAAACTCTCTATAGTGGGTTGGGCCTCTCAAAAGAAAAAAGAGGCAAGAGCTGACCTAGGTAAGGAACCCATACATTTTTATGCGTTTTTTAGAGTTTGATTAGTTTAGTTCTACAATACAGAGCGATAAGCTAGATTTGATGTTGTTTTGGTATATTTTTAAAGGAAAGCACCATCTTCTTGTCATTTCTTTTAGATAAAAATTTTCTGAGATAAAAATTTACTGCGTTTATCATCTACAAAAAACACTGCAATACAGTGGCGAATTTATTTTTAAAATATTTATCAAACACCTAACTTTGTGCTAGGCACTACTCGAAGTTGCCTGGGGTAGAGCAGCAAACAAAAGAATCAAAAATCTCAAAGATGTGAATGAAGCTTACATGTTAGTGTGAGAGGCAATAAACAAGTTAAGGAAGTAAAATATGTACTATGTCATATAACAGTGTTTAGGAAAAAAGGTAAACAAGAAAGGAAGAATAGCAAAGTATGCTGTTAAAATTTTAAATTGGGAGCCCAAGGAAGCCTCAATGAAAAGATGACATTTGGGTAAAGAAAATGAAGTAGTGAGCCATGTGGATCTTTTGGCAGACAGACAAAGCAGCAAGTGCAAAGGCCCTGAAGCAGGAGCAGGCCTGACATACTTTCTGTTCCTCAAAGAGGCTAATGTGGCTATAGCCCCTGTGGTTGGGCAAAGAAAGAAGGGAATAGTTGTGGAAAATGAGGTTTTTGTACTATTTTGGCTTTTGTTCAAAAAGACAAAAATCTGTTAGAGGGTTTTAAGTAGAGGGGTATTATGATCTGACTTTCTTAACTCAATCATTCTTATACTCCTTAGTTGAAAGCAAATTGGAATAATTCAGGAAGCAATGATGGTGACTTGGAGAGTGGGCAAAGAAAGAAGGGAATAGTTGTGGAAAATTAGGTTTTTGTACTATTTTGGCTTTTGTTCAAAAAGACAAAAATCTGTTAGAGGGTTTTAAGTAGAGGGGTATTATGATCTGACTTTCTTAACTCAATCATTCTTATACTCCTTAGTTGAAAGCAAATTGGAATAATTCAGGAAGCAATGATGGTGACTTGGAGCAGAGTGGTAGCAGCAGATATCACAAGAATCTTCAAATTCTGGATATATTTATAAGAGCAAACAGAGTGTGCTGTGAGAACAGATGTGGGATGTAAGGGAGAGTAATCAAGGATAACTTCAGCACCTAAAAGAATGGAGTTACTGTAAACCTAGGTAGGAATCACTACAGGAGAAGCAGGTTTAGGAGGGAATAGCTGAAGTTCCATTTGAATATGTAGTTTGATATGATTATCAGATTTCCAAACAGATGTCAGAAAACAGGTTAGATGTTTAATATTCTGCAGTTCAGGGCTGGAGTTGTACATTTAGGATTCATCATCATCTAGGTGAAAGTAGTTATAGATAGAAAAGAGAATGGGTCTGGGGTCTGAGCTGTGGAACACCCCAGTGTTTAGAAGTTGGAGAGGTGAAGGAGCAAGCACAACCAGAGAAGTAAGAGAAAAATCAGGAGAATATTGTGTCTTGTAAGCCAAGTAAATGAAGGAGAGAGTCATGAATTTGGTCAAATGTTTTTGGCATGCCAAATGAGATGAGGGCTAAAAATTGGCCTTTGGTTTTGGGAATACGAGGGTTATTTGATAACATTAATGAGAGCAATTTTGGTGGGATGTCAGCCTGATTGGTGTTGTTCAGAAGGATGGGAGAAGAGAACTTGGAGACTACAAGTGCAAAAGCCTCTTTCAAGGAGTTTTGCTAGAAAGAAGGAGAGAAATGAAGTAGTAGCTAAAGGAAGAAGCAGTGTTGAAGTTTGTTTTTTGTTTTAAATGAGAGTATATTATATTGTGAGTGATTGGAAGGATCTTAAGGGGGCAGGGGGAATG